ATTATTATATAACTACACTTATATTAATTAAATTTGTTATTTATTTTTTATTATTTATAACTTACTATTACTAAACGCTATCTATTAATTATCATCTGCTCCTTGTTAATTACTATTTATTATTTATTAACTATAATCTTTTACTTATTACAAGCTATACTCTAAATATTAATCATTATATTAAATATATTTTAAATTTTTATTCAGTACACTTATTTAATTATGAGAAATAATTTAATAATAATTTTTTATATCACTTTTTCATATAAATTTATGTATTATTTAAATAATTAATTTTTTTTATTTATTTAAAATATATGGTATTAAATACTTTTATATAAGTTTATATATCATTTAAATGAATAATCTGTTTATTTATATAAAATTTATAATATTAAATGAAAATTGTGTAAAAGAACGATAAAAATGGTTTTCCAATATCACCAACCTTAAATTATAACCGTTAGATATCGTAAACAAACTCATCCTCGCCTCACAAGGCCTGCCTCAACGTGTGATAAAAATAAAAGATGAAAAAAGCCCGCTTCCTTCCTCATTTCACATTTTTTGATTCACCTCTTCCTCCTCTTCCGCCTCATCTGCGTCGCCATCGTTCTACTCCTCAACAGTGTTTAAAACTTAATCTATCTCTTTGATTTCTATAATACTCCAGATTAACCGTAATCGAGCATTGTTGCTGCTGGATTTTTAGCCATGGAAACAGATGAAGCTCCTCGCGTGCTTCCCTTTCAGCTTCAGTTCGACAAACCAGTCGCCTCTCAGGTTTGCTCTCTAACTGCTCTTCGCCTTTTTTGGTGTTTTGTATGTGTTAAATTCTAGATTCTACTTGTTTAATCGATTCTGTTGATAGATTAAAATTGCCGAGTGGAATCCGGAGAAGGATTTACTGGCTATGGTTACTGAGGACTCGAAGATTTTGTTGCATCGATTCAATTGGCAGAGGCTATGGACGATTTCTCCTGGTAATTAGATCGCCTCCTCTTTTATTTAGTTTCTAATGGATCATAAATACCGTTTATATAGAGTTGAGACTTGAGACTACTTTAAAGCGTTAAACTATGTGAAACTTGTGGAATATTTTCTGAATTGATGTTGCGTTTTAGCTTTTGTGATTCGAGTTCTTTGATCATCAACTTATTCATTTTTTCCCCCTAGGAAGGTGCATTACATCCTTGTGTTGGCGCCCTGATGGTAAAGCACTAGCTGTTGGACTAGAGGATGGAACTATTTCTTTGCATGATGTTGAAGTGAGTGCACTTAGAAAAATAGCAATAATTAGGGTTGCAAGGATCAAACAAACACACACTAACACATCCGTAGATGGCGGTAAGGTTTATAACGAAATGTCTCTCTTAATCCATTCTCTTTTTCTTTTGTTTCCTTTAATTCCTACCAGAATGGAAAGTTGTTGCGAAGCTTAAAGTCCCATACTGTTGCTGTTGTGTCTCTAAATTGGGAGGAGGATGGACAACTAATAAGGGTATGCCTGAGTTGGAAATATTTCTCATATTTGAAGCTCTCCTTGGATGTTTGACAAGGCTTGTATCCTTACCTAGTTATGCATTTACGTGTTTGAACTTTGAACCTCTTACAAAGAAGAAAACAAAAAAAATAACCTGCTGTGTAGGATGATTCTAATGAAATCTCAACATATGAAGACCGTACTTCTCGCTTTTTTCCTCCTGCTCCAAGAGTTCCTCGGATGCCTGGACTTGTATCTGGAGATACTGGCTTCATGGATGATAGTGAAGATTCATACCGAGAGCTGTCGAAGTCTTCGTACCACCGGTTTAATATTCTTTGTAGTGGTGATAAAGATGGAAGCATATGCTTTAGCATATTTGGAATATTTCCAATTGGTAAAATTGTAAGTTATTCATATATCTTGGGAATGACTTTCTGGACTGGATTATATTGATTAATAGGGTTGATGATGATATGTAAATTTTCATTTTTCTTTTGGGTCAATCTGTGGTTCGATTCCCCATTAATATGTCTAATTTGAGCTGCTTGGTATATTTTACTAGCCAATATTAAAAAACTTGGGCTTTTGGATAATATCTAGTTTACACAATTAAAAAGTTAGTAGGTATTAGCAATGTTTTTAGAATGCAAGCTCTGCATCAGAGCTGCATCATTCTTGAAAGTTGTTTTCAGTTTGGATATAATTGTGGCCTGTTGCAGAGGTTAACTATGTCTGGTAAACAATAGCTTGATATTGCCAAGGATCCTCAATCTTGTGCTGTTCTTGTTTTTATCTCTTCTTCATTTTTGCCAGCAAGTCACTTGTTGAATCTCTCAGCAAAGCTGGTATAAATCCAATTGAATAAAAATTAAGAATTCATGTTTCAGTATTGCCACATGGTTTATATTTTTGTGATTGATCTATGTTGCTTTTCCTTTTTATCTAGATTATAATTTCCTCTTTTCCTCTTTATTCTATAACTTTGAATTCTTTGTGAAATTTGTGTGCCAGAATATACACAAGTTGCCAATTCCTTCTTCACTTGTGGATAAACAAGCTTCCAACAGATTTGTAAATGCTTCTATTTTGAAGGTATGCTCCTCTTCCAGTGAATGGATTTACAGTGATTACAGTATGTTATAAATAATATCAATTATAATTGTTGCCAAGTAACATTATCATGTGGCAAGAAACACAACTAATTTTTTTTTTTTTATCTTTAACAGAGGAACATATTCAGAGTAAAACCAAAAGAAGAATTATGCTTAGTTGTCCTCATCATGTTTGAAAAACTCTCACACAGGATTTAATCTTATATGCTCATAATGTCAGAGAACCTGTAGAAAGGGCTCTGTCTTGGTCTGTGTGACTGAAAAGGCTAAGGTGTTGAGGTTAAAAAACTTAAAATTTCTGATAAACGGTTCCCCTGGCATTTAAAAGCACATTTTGTTAAGTATTTACTGGCATACTACCAGGTTATCCTGCTTGCTGATTCTTATGTGTTTTCTGTTAGGTTGCTTTGTCAAAAGACCTTTGTCATATGATTGTTATGTGCTCTGGAGAACTTAATGAAGATGATCTTGAATCAACAGAGAGGCAAACTGGTGGACATGGTATACATGGCTTGCATTGCTTACTGCTGGATACTTCCATATTTTGGAAAAGGTAATTTTCCAGAGAAGCTGGGAAAGTTGCAAATTTATTACTTTGGATTTTATCTCATTTAGGTACTTAGTGCTTCTTGCTTAAGGTTTAATTGCCAACTAGTTGCTTATGTTAATGCATATTTTGGCATTGTAAGATAACCTGGAGTCAATAAAACATATGCTACCTATGCATTATTCCTTTATCCTTGGTTACATCCCATCATTTTGACCCTTTTTTCCATTTAGGAAATATGAGCTCCATCAGGTTGCTCAGCAGGCTTCTAACATTGAGGACTTAATTGAGGTTATACGTGCATCATTCTCAGTTATGTGCAAGCAGTGGTCAGACGCCATGCATATTTTTCATGAGAAGTTTGATTCTCTATCTAAACTAATTGTTGACCATGGTAAATGCTCATTAGAGTTCTATGACATAGCTTAATCATTATATTCTCTAGTCTTTTTTGTTTCTCCATTCATTATTTCCTATCATATGTGTATAGCTCTGGACTCATCTCCCCAAGAGGAGCTTCTGAGCCTCCTAGGTGGTGCTCGCACTAGTCCGCCAGTTCATCAATTTCTTGTTAACTCTCTCGGTGAAGCGGTAAGCTGGCATCATGTGATATTTTCTTTACATGAAAGGAAAGTGGTCCTATATTGAACTATTGATTTCTGAGTCAACAGGGAGTGAAGCGTGTATCAAAGGTTGTTTGTGGTGCTGGAAAAGAACTTCAGCATATTGTCCTTGATCATCTTCAGGTGCACTATTAAGTCTTGGAATTTAGTTAATAATTAATTTTTCTGGAAGGGCTGCTTTTTTACTACTTTATGTTGCAGAACATGTTTCCTTGTTTGGTGGGTCGGTTCAATAGATCCATGACTTGGGTGCATAAATGATACCATTAGAATGTGCAATTTGTAATTCACAATCTGCTGCTTTCCTTTATGGTTATGCCATCTGGTAGCTGATATTTCTGGTACATTCTAGTCAGACTTGGAATGATTATTATTATTAAAGCATGGTTGGTCAAGCATATCCTTAAATTTCATAAGTAGCCCAGCCAACTTGTTAAGTATATCTTTAAGGCAAACATGAATTTCTTTGTAATTGTTTATTGTAAGTTCTAGGATAATTTTCCTTGTGCCTGGTGTAATATCTTCACCTTTGTACCAATAGAAATGGTGAACTAAAGATAAAAAAAGTCCATTTCACAGCCTGCTGCAGAAATGATTGGGTTTAGGATGGGAGAGCTGAGGGGACTTTCAAGATGGCGAGCACGCTTTCAAGTGATTGGATTGGATGAGAAACTTATCAATAATGCAACAGAAAAATCTGGCATGTTACTAGTACAAGTTGAAAGATTTATGAGGGTGCTATCCTCTGTAGTACAACAGGTATACTAATTTGAGATTTCTGAATTGAAATTATGTTCTTCTTTCTTCTTCTGTTCTGGTAAGAAAGAGGAAAATTCTGTAATCAACAAAAGTCTAAAATTTACATTTTTTTTTTTAATCAAGAAGATGAAAATTTTCTCACTTGAAATTGTAAGATGATGGAGTTCTAATGTTTTTTTTTTCCTCCAGTTTTCCAATTTCTTTAACTGGCTACTAAAATGTATAAAGCTACTGATGCAAGAGCCAAGTGATCAGCTTCTTTCATACAATAGGTTTGTTTCTCTAATGAGTTTTGGTTGCCCCAGTTGATTTCTATACTTTCTTTTGGCCTTACATTTCATTTTTGACAGTGAACTTGTTGTTATATTCTTGAAGTTTTTATATGATCAAGATCCCATCAGGGCATTGCTTGAGCCATCTGAAGTAGATCGTGATATTGAAATTGATATGTAAGTTCAATCAGCAACAGTGTTGTTTATAACCTTCTTCCTCCTGTATGTCATGTAACAACTTCTTGCATACATCCATATATTTTTTTCGATAGTTATTTATCACATCCATATGTATATATATCACTCCTCACAATTTCAATTTATCACAGTATCAATGCATACATCCATATTTATTTTTGGAGTTTGAGATAGTTATTGTGACCATATCTATCAGGACTATAAATTAGAATTTCCTAATGGGCCTCGGAATTACAGCATGTTTGACTTGGGGGGAATGAGAGGAAAGGAAAAGAAACCAAGGGATTTTCCTTCAGTTAAATGAAGGTTTTGTCTCCTTTCCTTTATTAATTGGAGGAAGATCCTTTCCTTTTGCCTCATTTCCCTCAATCCAAACACCCTATTACCGTTTAACCCCCAACCAACTCTTTATATTTGAGAGACAGAAAGCCAGTACTTGTAGATGAACATTTCTATTGAAGAAGCTTAATAGAATGTAAAAATACAGTTATATCTAGTTTAGCTATGTACCTAATAGGAAACATATTTGGTATTATCTCTCCAGAATGACTTTTTATTTTGCCATCCGCGTGTGATATATACAGGTACACGTGTCTGCATCTCTTGGGTTAGGTTAAGCACATGTGTAAAAGGAAGAGGCTTTAGAAAATGTAAAAATCTAAAGAGTTACATCTAGTCTAGATAAATATATTTGGTATTGACTCTCCAGGGTTACCATTCATTTTTGTGTGTTTGCATGATGCATGGGGTTGCACCAGTTTGTGTGCTTCTCTTAAGTTAGGTTATCACGTGTGTGGGCATTATTCATAGTTATATATCTGAAATGCCATTATTTATTCTCTGAACAAACTGATTTTTGTAATACTGAATGTTGCTGTGTTCCCATGATATATGAGGGGCACCAGTGTGTTTGCATCTCTGCAGTTAGGTTATGCACATTTGTGGGCATTAATGATTGTCATAAATGTATCTGTAATGCCATTATATATTATCTAAACAAACTGATTTGTGGAAATCCTTCAGGGATACAATGCAAAGGGTTAGAGAACTAGTTGACTTTGGAGGATTTTCAGATTGTGAATATCTCCGGCGCACACTAGCCAAGGAATTTCAACAGATGGAGTCTAGGCATGCTCTCCTTTTCCTTTACTTTTTCCTTTTCCACTGATTAGTCAATTATGTTCTTAGAGATCTCATTTTAAATTAGAATAGAATCTTGTCCTTTTCAATTCCAGAACAATAAGAATATGAATTAGTCGATTCACTGAACAACCTATTCTTGGATAAACAATGGTTAAATTTCAAGAACTTGCTTTGCTTTGATATCTGATAGTATAGTCACCAAGTTCTTTTATTTCCGCTTTAAATTTCAATTGTCCCAACCCTCAATTCTTCCTCCTTGATTGCACTAATATTAAGGGAGCACATGAGAAATTAGCAATCTTCTTTGTAGAATATGTAATTCAATCTTCTTAATTGCATCAGTATTACTCTTCTGCTTTTCTTCAAGTTATAAATGCCTTATCAATGGGTCCTTATTTTTAGTTTCGAGGAGGCTTTCCTGATGCCCTTTACTACTATTTCACGGAAGATACTTTGCAAGGATGTTCTATCACTGTTTGCATTCTCATCTTCACCAGTATCATTATCCATCACCATTCCTACATCAGTATCATACTACAAGGTATCATTCTCTGCTACTCTTTATCCTCCCTGTTCCTAATTGAGGGCTTTTGTTTCTTCAATTGCAATTGCATGCAGTGATGACGTAGTCATATGGTTAAGTGAAAGTGCTTTATATTTTATAAACTGTATCAGCAATGCTTGTTCAACTTGTTGCCTTTTCTTTTGCTGTAGGATGACTCTTTGGCTATTTCATCTCATCAGACTGGTGAACATGGGTATATTGATTATATTTCTTTCCTAGTACCTAATGACTCTTCCTTAGGTACTGCAAACTGTGTAGGCATAGCAAGGGGATTTATGCATAGTCTGAATGGTATAAAAGAGGGATGTGACTCATTGGAAGCTACACTGCTATCTGTACCTGAAGGTTATAACTGTGTGGACCTGTCTTTATATAAGGTGAAAAACTAATTTTAACTTTCTTTACCTTGTCTTACTTCATGTCTCATGTGAATTCCATTTCAATAGTCCAAAGCGGAAGAGCCAAATTTTATTGAACGATACAGCTACTTCTTATGTTTGTGTAATTTTTTGGATGTTATCTAACTTATTTTTGTTTATAATCTAACACAGGAAAATCAAATTGTTTTATTATTAAATGAAAGTGCTGCTGCTACTGAAAGCACCGGAAAATCCTGTATGATGATTGTCCAAGCTAGTGATCTCCCATTTGTGTCCATTTCAAGGTCTGCAATAGCCTTCATGGACTTAAATCAACTAAAGGTAAAAATTCTCTGTTTGCTCATCTGATCTGCATTTCTTGGGGTAAATAACTTACAGACATGTTATATGTTTTCAAATAATTTTGACATATCTTTAAATTATCATTTGTTTCCAATATCATTGTGAACTCTTGCAATTGTTGCTTTTATATTCTTAGAAATTCTTCCGCTAAACTATTTTCAAGTGTCAACTATGGGGAGATACTTATCTGCCAGAAAATAATTTGCATTTAGGACTCTATAATGCACCTACAAATGGAGAATGAAAAGGTCCGGATTATTCCTCATGTTGCAGTTGCTCCCTTGGCAGTGAGTGGTAAGTCTTGTTGTTGCTCAGTTTTATCTTTTATACCTTCAGGAAATTTATTAACTAATTGTCTGAGTGCTGACTTAGTTATCATGTAGAACAGTTTGAATGTGCAGCTGCCTTCATAACTTGAAAACCTCTTTTTTTGGGTACATCTGATTAATAGTGATTATGTACTATACAAGAGGGGATAGCCCTCCTTTATTCCCAAATCCCTCTCCACCCAACTCAAGGCTCAAAGTTGAGATCTCCAACTTGGAGTCTCAAGACTGTTGAGCCACCCCATTGGGGTTCATAACTTGAAAACCTTAAGTTTACGTACGCTTCATGGTTGGTCTCTTAGAGTTGATGTCTAGGTATTTCAACAATAACGGAAATTTCTTGTACTTTACATATTTTAATCATATAGCACGGACGTTAACATCTTTAGGACTATTTATAAAATTTCTAGCAGGCTCTGTGCATAACATATTAGGAGTGTCCCAAGGCTTAATAACATAGCTGTTTTGTTTCAAACTAGCTCCAATTTGTAGAGTTACAAATATAATTTCATGAAATGTAGCCAAGAACTGACATTAAAGACATTATTTTGACTAAAGAATCTGCTCGTTCTTTCTTCAAATATTAAATAAGTCATCTTCGTAGCAAAAAAGGAAACAGATTTTGGAAAGTCTGTTTCTTCTGTTACATAATCTTGTTATTTTACGGCAACAATAGTACATGAAGTGTAAACTTGGTTTTATGGTTAGACCTTATCAATTTAAGCTTAAATATTCAATACTACCCATTTAATAAGATTGATCTGGCATCTTCAATTAAATGAAGACTTCTGCAAATGCCTTAATGCTTTATGTTGAAATTTAAATTTAACAGCATCTAGAGGCGTAGCTTGTGTGTTTGCTGCGAGAAAGCGCGCACTGGTATACATCCTTGATGAAGATGAAGATGAAGTTTCTGAAGCAGAATGATTGCTCCCATCTCCCATCCCCCTAGGTCCTCACCCTCGTTCTCTTCTCATTGACCTTGCCCTCGCCCTTTTTCTCCTCTATGATGCATGTTTATGAAAATTTGTGGCAATGATAGTGGCCTGTTTTGTTCATTGTATATTATGTTGAAAGGCAGCAATCTTGCCACCGTATTTTATTTTTATTTTTATTTTTTGGAAAATGATCATTTTAGTTTATTCGTTTTAAAGAGATAGTTTAGGTAATCAACATAACTCGCGAAAGGTCGAAAAACTATTCAAATCTTCTGGGTTCATGTATTCTAGTCAATATTAATGTTAAGGTCTTATTAATGTATGGAAAAAAAAAATTGATATTAAAAATATCACGATATCTAATAAATTAAGGTCAATATTATATTTTGTATATTTAATTATTATAATTGAGTACATTGACGCTGGCATTAGCCAGCTTGTTAGGTGCATTTCCCTCTCCCCTGGGCGGGTTTCGAACCCGTCCCGTGCAAAATGTTCAAAAAAAAAAAAAATTGAGTACATTGACATCTCTAATGTCAAAATATCTTCTTCTTTCTTTCTTTTTTTTTTTATTATATATTGAGATGAATTGTGATGTCTAATAATTACGGTGGTTCATAATTCAAACACCCTCAAGAAAATAAAAGGTAAAACCATAAGTTAGACTCCTGAACTAACCTCAGAATTGCTATTAAGCCCTTAGACTTTAATTGATGCATATAAGTCTCTGAACTCTGCCATAAAAGCAATTTAGCCCTTACTTTTACAGCAACTTAACTGCTGTTAACTGTCATTAATTGCTATTTGGGGACTGCCTCGTGTGGCGAAATGACCATCTCCTGTCTATCTGGTAAAGGATTTGGCATTTGATTTGTTCACTTGGACACCAAAAAAAGAAAAAAATTATTTAAGAAAAATTATTTTTTATAATTTTAAATGTTATTTAAATAATTAATTTTTTTATTCATGAATTTATTTAATATATATTTTAAAGGTATAAATTAAAAATATAATAAATATATTTTTATAATAAATTTATATTAAAAAATAAAAATTAATATTTAATTTTTTAACTATCTAATTAAATTTATCTATTTAACATCAATATTAAAATTAATATCTATTTTTATATTTTTTATATATATTTATGATAAGAAAATACCTTTAATCTATATTCTAAAGGCATAGGTTAAAATTTTTTTTATTGATTTGGAATATGTAATATTAAGTGTATTAACTTATTAATAATATGTGAAAATTATATAAAAAATTACACAAAAAATTGTCCTTATATCACAAAAAAAAAAAAGAAGTTATTACGAGTTTCAGTGATCATGCTCTTGATGAAAGTTACCGGATGTTTCCATTTTACCCTTATATTTTGTCAAATTACAAGAAAACTACTATAGGTAGAGGATCGTTTACAACCTCTGACCAAATATCCTAATAGTTTTCTGCACTCCTACTCAGCATCTCCTCCATCTTCCTCCATCGTGTTTTAGTTGTGACCAAAAATGGATGCCTGTTATAGACTCCTCCGCAACGGCTAGTTTTGTAACTAACTGAAGTATTAGAAGGTAGATTTGAGAATACTATGTACCGACCGAGTTCCCCTGAGTGTCAGAGACTCGAGAGTTGAGATAGCTGCAACTGTCTGTGCTGGAGCAGGGGAACGGAAGCTGTTGTCCCGAAGAAGAACAACGAGGGTTTGGGAGTGGGAGTTGCCGTTGCTAGAGAAGAGTTGCGAGATTGGAGGTGCCGTCGCTGATTTTTTTTGGAGAACAGCAATATCTTAGACCTAGGGATTTGGATTTTGGAGAAGAGGGGTTTCGGTAGAAGGTCAGTCTCTGCTTTGGTTTTATAGTGTGGCATTATGATAAATAGGGTAGATTTTCTGTTAAAAATGGTTATTTTCTTGCACATACTATTGTTCATGGATCTGTTATGGGAGAAGAAAATATGCTCTTTTCTTTTGTTGAGTGGAAACATTCGTGGAAATTGAAAGTGCCTCCTAAGGTTAGAGTATTTTAATGGAGGGCCATACTTAACTGATTGCCTACTTTGGATAATTTGGTGAAAAGGGGATTTCACAGGAGGCTTTATGTCCTAATTGTCATATGGTTGATGAAACCTTAATGCATTTGTTATTGTATTGCCCTCATGTTGAAAGTAATGAGGTTCTAGATTTATTCAAGGTCACAGAGATGAGACTTATTCCTTCAGATGCTAGACAATGTGTGTTATTTCAGAGCTTCTTTGCTTTAATTGCTTCTATTCTGGTATTCTTGCTATTTAACAGACGGTGCTGACTTTTCTCTTGATTTCTTCCTTGATAATGGATACTCTGTTTTAGATATTCTCCGAGTGTGCTGAGCTGAATCCTGATCCAATTGAAGGTGAGTGCCATTACTCAGTGTGGAGATGGAAAGTTATTGAGAGCCTATTTTGGTGTTGTATGGCTATGATTACTTGTTTTTTACATAATAACAATGTACTGTATTTGTTTCTACTACCTTTTAGATGATGAAGAAGGGCAGGGTTGGGTTTTTAGTTGGAAGATGAGGCTAGAGGTATGGTATAGGCAAGATAGCTACTTTCTCACTGTTTTTCTTTTCTTGATGTTTTTTTTTTGCAAATATGCTCCTTTTAATAACCAAACTAATATGTCCAGAGACTGAAGATTCTGGATGGGAATTCTCTCACAATTTAGTGAACTTGATTGGTCATTCAAATGGCTATCATGACCTAGCTCATACAGTGCTTCAGGTGGGCTGCTAACTTGTTTGGAGTTCTCAAATATGATTGAGCTTTGTCTACAATTTAGTTTCCTCAACATCCTCTACTTTTTTCTTCAGTTATAGATTTAAAGTTTAAACCTCTAATTAGAAATTATTTTCTTACCATATCTTACCTTCTTAATGGCTTCTCTTTTGATAAGAATTTATACTTGCAGCTCCAGATTAATGATTAATGCTTTGAGGATGTAGAAGAGATGTAACATGCAAGCGACAGTACCCATCAGTGAGTCATGTATGCTTGCTTTTCGTTTAAACCATTCGCTAGAAGTTTGTAGTTTGGCAGAGTAAATTAAATGCAACTTGCTTTAACCTTCACCCCACGCATTTCTCTGTATGCTTTATGACTGGATTGCACTCTTGCCCTTATTTTATATCCTTTTTATTTTCATTCTCACATTTGTGTATCAGATTGGATAACATGTAAAACAATCAGCCAGCCTTGTAAAAGATGGGTGATCTTTTACTTTAGATCACACAGAGGGGATCCATCTATTTGTGGAGCATTTATTCTTTTTCTTTTTCTTGATTAATCAGATCAATTTGATTTGTTTTTACAAAATAACAAAATTGGAATTTGTTGGTTCAAATTTATGATCCAAGAGTACTCTATATCCATGGGTAAGGATTTGTTGGTTCAAATTTGGGTTCTGCTGCTTTGGCTATGGTTGGACGCAACTCTAATGGTGAAGTTTTTTTTGGAAAGACTTGGTTATGTATGGCTATTTCTCCACTTATGGCTGAGGCGGTTGCTTTGCTTAAAGCTGTTCAATTTGTGGGAAACATGGGAGTTCACAATGTGAAATTTGAGTTGATAATCAAGAATTAATTTCATGTCTTCAACAATCTAACAAACCTCTTCCATGGGAGGCTAAGTCTATTATTATGAGTATTAAACAACTTTATAGTCTCCATCTTGAATTTTTGTTCACATGTTTCGCGGGATGGAAATCAGGTTGCAGCTGGCTGGCTCGTTCATCTCTTCAACGGCAATGTCCTTCATATTGAGCACATGGTCCTAATATTTTGTTTTCTTTGCTAATTCAAGATAGTCTACGTACTTGATGTAAATTATACTTAAATACTATATAAAATTTCCAATTTAAAAAAAAAAAAAAAAGCCCAGCAACATTGGCATGATTTTCTAATGTTAAAATATGACATTGACCTGTTCTAATATTACTTTAGGGTGAATTTTTTTCATCCTAACTATAACGTAGCATGTTTTATTTTTAATATTAAATGTAAGTATTTATTTAGTATTTATGTTTAAATTATGAAGAATTACTTTTTAATTATCAACTTTAAAATGATTAAAAACTTAAAGTTATATAAAAATATAAAATAAAAAATGAAGTGAGAGTGGCACTTTTACATGTGGTCTAAGTGGTCATGCTTTTTGGTGTGAGAAATAAAGTGGAGCGCAGCACATGATTATTAGGTTAACTCTTTGATCGGTATTTGAATAAATACTAATTTACTAACTATATTCCCTATAGTAAAAAAAGAAAAATGAAGTGAGAGTGGTATTTTAGTAAATAGAAAATGTCTATCTCAATTATTTTAGCACAATTATTTTAGCACCATATTGAGTTAAAAGTTCTTTTATAAAAAATTATCAAATAATTTTTCACTTTAAAAGTATTTATATAAAAAATTTTATCAAATAGGAGTTCGATTTCTTATAAATAAGACTTTTACAATGGATTTTTTCGAATAAGATCTTTATCAAAACCTCCAACCGCACCAACCAAACTCTTAGTGTCCAAATTATATTTTAATATGCAATTTGACTAAAAACATTTTTAAATTATTACATTACTGTTTTTATTTTTCCCAAGAAAAGAAAAATCACTACTTAAGTCAGCAAATTAGACGTGACAAACAAGTCGGATTGGGTCATTTCGGATTTCGAGTTATTCAGATTGGGTCATTTCAAGTGTTGAGTTAAGAAGGTTGATCCACAATCTAACCACACGGTTCTTGGATTGAGTCAAGTGGACATAACTTTTAAAAAATTAAACTTAAAATTAAAATTTTTCTATATTTTTCTCTATTTTTCTTTAACAAAATCTAATATTAATTAATTAAGAAGGTTGATCCACAATCTAACCACACGGTTCTTGGATAGAGTCAAGTGGACATAACTTTTAAAAAATTAAACTTAAAATTAAATTTTTTTTATATTTTTCTCTATTTTTCTTTAACAAAATCTAATATTAATTAATTATTTAGTTAAAAAAAC